GCGCCACCACCATATGTCGTTTTACAATTTGATTGTAAAGCCTGCCTTGAGAAAGGTTACCCACGGTAACCGAAACGTCGGCGGATATAATTCTCTACCGACATTGCTGTCGTATTAACACTATAACATTCAAAATAAAACAACATATGGCGCATCGATTTTTCGATACACTGCTAACGTCATTTGACAACGTGGAATGAGTTTGGCCCCAATCATCACCAAAATATTAGCCTCCGTCACACTCCTATGTCTGACTTCGGGGAGACAAATATCCGCGAACAATAAACGGGGTTTCGACTATATCATGCTTGTATCGACCAAATCTTCACACCGAGTCAAATCCTTGAGCTGAACCATACTCACCGTGGACCAACGATTGTCGTGTTGCTTGCCGTAAAAGGAGCCTTCGACTCAGTTGACTACAAAGCCCTTATGGGTTCGCTTCTTCTCAGAGGAATACCGCAGAAGTAAGTGAATATACTAAGGTTACTCTACTCGCATACTTCTTGGTCTACGGCAAGCTGAGGTCGTTCGAAACTAGCAGCGGTGTTCGTCAAGAGTGCTTTATTACTCTATTCCTTCTCAATTTCGCCATAGGCGAAATACTGGGGAACGCACAAAGTGGTCTCCAAAATGTAGCTATTGTATGAGCAGCTGGAGAAAAGCTGCGCGATCTGAAGCGCACCTAGTGGTTTTCAACAATCGGGGTAGGCAACCGTTAGACGTGTGGTAAATGTCTTAATCAACGGAGCCCATTGAGCCGAAATCGATGCGATGACGAGTTCGTGTTCTAGTCAATACCAAACACCCAAGTACTAGGTTACTAACACGCTCACGCCATCACCTGGGCGAGAATACGTAGTCTTATCGCACTGATATTGTTATCCTATCGTATGTTAGCTTTAGGGCGACCCACCAAGTGCCGCGTTCTCCGAACGCATGCAAACCACTCGTTCCGGACGGTATGCCACCCATAGTCCTCAAAATATGCCATCTTCATTATCCTGTTCTTTGGCTTTCTGCTGTTCCAACTCTTTGAAAACGCTCTGTGATTTTCTTTCTTTTTCCCAAAACGCGGCGACCTTTCTGACCCCAATAATCACCAATCCATTTACCTCAAATCATCTCCAACGAACTGCCTGCGTTCCTCCAAAGTAAGGGACCACTGAGTGATTGTCAACATAGCTTCCGTTCTCCTTGTGACCAGTGGGCTCTACTCTCACTACCCTGGTCGGGTGCTTTCGATGACCACTTGTTCTCGCTTGACATCAAAAGACTTCCTCTGAATTGATGAGGTTATCCTGGCCATTCCCTGTGAATGTTGGCGCTCACCAAAGTTCAGTCTCCGCACCACCTACTTACTAATGATCTCCCAAGGCTATCAACCCAATACAAAGCTTTTCCGTTGACGCCGTTCTTCACTGTTTTCTCTTACTGCAATACCGGAAATAAAATCAGTCGTAACCACGGTGCCGTTAATATGTCACTGGACTCCGATTTCAAACACATCTCTTGAGACAGCGACAACTATATTGCGTTTAATGCTTCCAAAATATTCTTTTCAGTCTCTATCAAAAAACCATTCTCCCCATACTTGTCTTTCGATTCCACCCAACTGTGTTCCACCGACTCTTCTATGATTGACCGTAACCTCTTTATGCTGGTTATCTTTCATATCTCAGCTTTTTTCGCGTGCTACGCTTAGATTTGGTTTTTATTCCGCACCAGACGCTTCTTCTTTCCAACCGGTTTACCGTGTAACTGTCAAATCCACTGTGCTCGTGAATACCTCAGTCATGTGTAGGGCGAGGCTTCGTTTTATGCTCTTTCCTTTCTTGATTGTGTTCAACAGAAGGAAGCTTGACCGATCCCTCCCTACCTTTCAGTCCGCAGTCACTAGCCCATCGTCGGGCAATTTCTTCTTGGTCTTTCCTCTACCGCTACTATTTGTATTGTTCTTCAAAGTTCCCCTTTCCCGCCAATTCCGTACACATGCCCCTGTTTATCCTTATCAGACGGGTCACTAAATACCGTGCTTTTCTACTTCAAACTTCTTTTTTCCCGAACTACCAAGTCGTAGAACACCCTTTCACTCTCCGTTTCCATCCAGTAACAATCTTTTACTTTTCACGCAAAATCAATAAGCTGGATCTTGGGTGAGAACTCCTCTACTATCGCCTCTACAGTTTGTTTGGACTATGGTTTTTTCCTCTTTTATTGTGATACATATGGTATAATAAAAAAGGTCCACCGAAACGTCCAGGAAGTGTAGCATTGCTCAAGTGAGACATGAAGTACTAGATGATCAATGCGATCCAGCTTTCTTTACTTGTGTTTATCACTGTCAGATGCCATTCAAGTCCATGATGTGATTAGCATTCTGCTGATTATGCTACTTTAAAGCCCGCAAATGCTTTTCACAAACGCGTACTACAGTAACAAAATGTGAAGGACATTGTGGGTCAAAGAAGAATATTCAGTTGACAATATCTTTCATAATTTTGGATTTGATAAAGTTGGGGTTTGGGGAAACCGGAGGGAGGTGGCTTTTTCCACTGCCTTGCAGCCATGGAGACAAACGATGAAAAACCAGTAGTGGGATATGTTTTTCCGCTAGACTTGTAAACTAACTTTAAGTATGAGTAACTTACTCCTGTATTAGGTTTAATCGACTTCATGGATTCTATTACGAAGTTTGCGAACTCGGTACGAGCGGCATCCCAAATACCACGGTTTTTTAGTTCAAGGCTGAATCTGCAGTCCTGGCATGTACAAATACGGCAGGACAATGGCTCACATCACGATGCTTTGGTTTTTTGGCGGAAACCCACCACACCCGCGAGCATCACTGATAGGGGTTTGCAACTGCTTTTTCAGTGAAGCAATGTATACCTGTTCACAATAAACCATCTACCTTACCGTTTCCGATTGACCACCTGGAGATGCACTCGGTAACGTACGGCCCCGCTAGCAGTGGTCTTTTGTTGCTTAAACTTTCCATGGAAAACCAGCTGTCAAACCATTAAACCAGATCATTAACGTGCAGTTGATTAAATAACCTAATCGTTCTCCTTCTCAATTTACTCTAAGCACTTCGCGGCTCTGGGTTGGACGACTTAGTAGCTCAGCAACTCATTAAGTGCATGGTTAATGGTTGTAAAAGCTGAACTGAACTGAACTCAGCACCTCATAACATTTGAACGATCATGAAAAAGAATACAAATGCTGTGCAGTCATGCTATTTCGTTCTTCTCAGTTTGGATATCGTGTTGGCACCCTACCTGTTTCAAGCTCATGGTTAAACCGCATACCAAATACCCCTATGCCTTTTTATTTCAATCTTTAGATGGGCTACTCCAGAAGCTATGGCAGCCGCTGGTTTCTACAAAATGGCCCTGGTTAAGAGCGACAGTGTATTTTGTTTCCTATGTGACATTTGTTTGACTGATTGGGTTCCCACTGATGAGCCGTGGAGTGAACATAACAGGCACGCCTCGCACTGTGTATTGGTTCAATCTAAACCGTCATCCAATGTTCCAATTACAGGTAAGTTGTTTTCTCTGATGTTTACTAGTGGGTGCCTTTAATTTCATGTTGGTTTCGTGTATCATTTTTTCGTGCATCAGGTTCTATTGGCTAGCGCCTACGATGTGACAATTATGACCCATGTTGTTGGTTTTGAGCAGAAAACTCCATAGTATGTATGGTTTGTTTATACGAACCAGAAACCTGAGCATGGACTTAGAGTGGTGTTATACAAGGTTCCGTTAGAATAGGCATGACTTAAGGCCGTCTACCACCTGGATTGAGTGCTAGTGAGTGTAATTGTCAGGAAGGTGAAGATCTTTCTGCAAATCGGCCCATTTCTGTGTAAAACGAAGTCCACCAATAAGAAACCACCGAAGATTCTATAGAATTCGTGTAGTGTACCAGCAGTAACAGGAGTTCCCAGTTTTCCCTGGAATGTTCTAATTTAGGTTTACGCGCACGTTTTCTGAAGCACTCAAGGTTGGTTCATGTGCATATGGACACGTTTTACCCCGAAACATCCATCATGATGAGACTTGACGTGGTGTAATGGCTTTTGCACCTCTGTGA